TGTAGCACATGTTAAATGAACATTTAAAGAAGTGATTTGCGTGGTTCATGTGCGATCAGAGTTGGTCCATAACTGACTGGTAAGATTTAAATAGGTCTAGGGTAGAGACTGCAGCATTGGGAAAGGTTTGGAAATGAAAAGATTTTTCTTAGTTACCACACCGATTGATTTTGGTGACCAATCAATCATTTTAGATTAGTTAGTGCTGATGCAGCTTCAGTGACTTAGTGCTTGTAACTTGTATCATAGGAAATAGTTCAGTGAGTTTCAAAGTCTTTCTTTTTGAAGATTTATTTATTTATTGGAAAGACAAGAGAGAGAAGGAGAGGGAAAAGTGAGAGAGAGAGAGAGAGACAGACAGACAGACAGATACCTTCCATCTACTGATTCACTCCCCAGATGGCCACACTGACCAAGGCTGGGTCAGACCAAAACCAGGAGCCAGGAGCTTCACCTGGGTCTCCCACATGGGTGCAGGGGCCCAAGCACTTGGGCCATCCTCTGCTGCTTTCCCAGGTGCATTAGCAGGGAGCTGGATCAGAAGTGGAGCAGCCGGGACTGGAACCAGCACTCATAAGGGATGCTGCCATTGCAGATGGTAACAACATGCTATGTTACAATGCCAGCCCCATCAAAGTCTTTTAAAAAATTAGTATTCTTTGTAAAAATAATTAGAATAAAGATAGTCATTATAAAATTAGAGGGCTTTATGGGGCCAGGGTTGTGGCGTAGCAGGTAAAACCACTGCCTGCAGTGCCGACAATCCCATATGGGCTCCGGTTCGAGTCCTGGCTGCTCCACTTCCTATCCAGCTCTCTGCTATGGCCTGGGAAAGCAGTAGAAGATGACCCAAGTCCTTGGGCCTTACACCTATGTGGGAGACCCAGAAGAAGCTCCTGGCTCCTGGCTCCTTGCTCCTGGCTTTGGATCAGCACAGCTCCGGCTGTTGTGGCCAATTGGGGAGTGAACCAGCGGATGGAAGACCTCTCTCTCTCTCTTTCTCTCTCTCTCTCTCTCTCTCTCTCTCTCTTGCTCTCTGCCTCTCCTTCTCTCTCTGTGTAACTCTGATTTTAAAATAAATAAATACTTCTTGAAAAAAAATTAGAGTGCTTTTTTTTAAATGTGTGGAAAAATGATCCGGAACCACCAGGCTCAAATGCTGAGAGAAAAACAGTACATATATTGTAAATAAAAGATGAAATTCAGTTGCACAGTGAGAGAGGCCAGTTACTGGAATCTCTGTTACTGGGGGCTTGAGAGGATGGCTAGGAAAGCAAAAATACTCTTTAGAATTTGACCTTGGACGGCACCTGGGAAATTACGGAAAATGAATTTCCTAGAAATATACTTCTTGCATGTCCACTCTTTCATAGACAAGTGAACGTAATTTTAAAATTCAGATTCTCAGAATGGAGGCAAGTGTTTGGCACAGTGAGTGAGATGCAACTCAGGACACTTGTGTCCCATATCAGAGTGCCTGGGTTCAAGTCCTGCCTCTGCTTCCTACCCAGCTTCCTGCTCTTATGCACCCTGGGAGGTAACAGGTGATGGCCCAAGTAGTTGGATCCCTGACACACATGTGGGAAACCCAGAGTGAGCTCTGAGTTCCTGGCTTTTTTGGCCTAGTTCAACTCTGACCACTGTAGGTTTAGAGAGTGAACCAGTGGATGTAAGATACCTTCTCTCTCTCTCTCTCGCTCTCTCTTTCTCTGCTTTACAAATAAAATGAAAATGAACAAAACTTTTAAAATAAATGATTTTTAAAATAAATGTAGTTAGAATGGCTACAATTGAAGTTGTAAATCAGAAGCATAGCCTGCTTTTTTTTCTGAGAAACTGAATGAATAAGCAGTTAATAACATCATAACATCTTACTGTGGCATGTGTATGGTGATTCAGTATTTACTTAATTAGATTTGATAGGAAAGTACTTTTGTAGTTTGTGCATGTGTATGTGTGTATGGTGTGGATGTGTGTATTTTCAACTGCAGGCTTAGCAAATCTGGCATCTCTGTCTTTTCCCAGAAAGCCAGTATTATTTGTATTCATTCATATTCAAAAGTCTATAAAGAATGGCAGACATTGTGAGCTCTGATTCACAATGGGTAGCTGAAACCCAACCTGTTAAAAACAGTTGAGCGATAATTTTGTTCTTAATCAACCATTGTAACCACATACCCACATTCTTCATAACTGATCTCAAGACTGATTTCTCTCATGAAGCTATTTTCCATCTTTTCAGTTTCCTCCCTTATTTGTTTTATGGCCCTGTCGGGTAAAGTTTTGAAAGTGTTCTTTGCCTTTCGGATAGGATGTGATAGCTGTGAATCGGTGTGCACTTGAGTTTCTTAAGGGAGTCACAGTATTAAGAGAGGCTGGGGACATGCTCCTCAGTTTTAGAGACCAAGCTCTGACCATTGGAAAGAGTGGGACAGCAGGCAGCAGTTCAGGGGGCTTCTGTGTCTTTGAGGAAATGATGCTGTCCGTGTAAGAATAGCTGACTTAACGCAGACAGATTGATGAAGGTCATGGTCAAAATCACAGGACCAGCAGGCCAGAGCTCAGAGAAGAGTTGGGACTGCAGGAATGAAACATGGCCAGCCCAGGTGCCCTGCCACTAACATTCTCTTGAAATCTGTCTCTGGGATCTTGGGGGAGCTCAGGCATGTCTGAGCAAAATTCCCCTGAAGGCTTGACTCTCCCCAACACACTTACGAATTCCTTCCCTTTCTCACTGGAAATAGATAGGATTGGCAATTATGACTCTGTCACATATACCAAGGTATGCATGCAACTTCTCTAGGATACAGTTATATCTTGCAACAAGTGAACCACATAGAGAATTGAGGTGGATAAACTCTTTGTCCAGGGTTGTTTATGGTGCTGGTAGTGAATAAAGGGGATTCTGAGCCCTAAAATAAAGTTAGGATTGGATGTTACCCGTACCATCATTTCTATCCTGTCACTCGGTTGCACCAGCTCAAAAGTTCTACCATTGATAAACACCGTAGGCTATGGAGCTGTCTGTGCAGCAGCTGTGGGCCGCCCAGCCCTGCCTTGAACAAAGAACAGAGGAAAGTGCAAGGCACCACTTGGATTCCATGTCTTAGACACAAAAATGCCCTTCTTAACACCCAGCTCAGATACGGAAGTCTTTACTCATTTTGCTAAGGAAACAAAATAGTGCTTTCCCAGGTACCAAGTAAGTTAATGAATTCTCTCCTCATCTGCACTCTCCATACGGCTGGCTAGGAAGCTACATGTTCATGAAAACAGAACATGCAAACGCTCTCTGTTGTATTTCCCTCTTCAGCTCCAAATCCAAGGATATTTGTTTATGTGCCTTTTCTTCCCATTCAGACATCTGTAGAGACACATGAAGTCCCAGGTAGGAAATCAAAAATCTTTCTAGGACTTGTCCTAAAATCTCAACTTCTTTAACAACTGCTGATATCACCAACTAATTTCATATTTTAAATATTGTTTGCATGGATTTTTTACTGTTCACAATATATTAGGGTGGTTTCTTTAAATTGGTTTCAAAACTTTGTGATTATAAAAATTATAATTTTTAAAATTGAAACATTGTCACAGATATGTGCTGCCTATTCATGGTAATCACCATGGGGAATGGACCTGTATTTTGTTTATTTGACCATTAAAGTTTAACACAGCAGAAAAAATACCATAGAGGCAGGCAGGACTGTGCAGTGGTTACTAGGTTATGAGACTTGTTCCTTTGATTTGATTTAATAAAAGTTTAATGTGAAAGAGTTTTGTCCTCATTCAGTTGTAAAAATGAAATATGAGTCTTATGGAAAATTTGGAAAATTAGAAAGGGGACTATAAAATGGCTGTTCCATACAGAAGCAATCTCCTTGGCTCTTCCTGATTCAAGGGTGACTCCATGGAGTGAGTTGGGATACTGCCCACACTACCCTGCTTCACTGGGCAACCTCTGAAGCGAGCCCGTCCTCAGCGCTGCCCCTCCCACTGCTGTGATAACTACAAGCATATATGTGCGGTGAAGATAGGGGATGGTCAAATGCCTGTGTGTCCCACTTAATCAGATAAACCAAGTGACATATGCAAGAGCATACAGTCGACATTGGCTGAGGGCTTCTGTTTCTTAGACACGGTGCTTGGCATGAAGGTGCAGTAGTGGATAGTACCATCCTATCTCTCCACTGTCTGCCTGGGGAATCTTACACCTATTCCCATACACCAGTTAGGAAGAGGCATTTGTGACTCAATAGAATATGCAAAATGCTGCAGGAGTCAAATGACAAAGCACATTATGTATGAAGTGACATTTAGGCTAGATCTTGAGAGATCAAAGAAATAAAATTCCCCTGGGTCTATCAGCAGTTCAAATTTTGACTTTAGCATAGGAATAAAAATAATGAGGTCCTCCTTTAGGTCAGAGCCGGAATTATTAAGATATCTATAAAGGGCCAAACACAAACCTTGGTGTGGTGCTGCAACTTCTAATGATAGCAATAAAAATTTACGGTCATTTAATTTTTAAAAAATTCAGTAATAAAGCAAAAGCCCTTGCGGTTATCAAAGGCTTTGGCATGGTGACATTTCTCCAATGGTAAAATAGCCAACGATTTCTAGAACAGAATTTGCCCATTGGTCCCTGAGGCCACCTCCCGAGCACATAGATAAAATGAGTTTATCAGAACGAGTGAGCACTCCCAACCCAGGCACAACTTTGTTGATAAAACCACAAGACTTCTGAATTCTGTGATGGCTTGTGAGTCTCTCCAGTCATCTGGGAACACAGTGTCCTGCCCCTGTCACTTGTGACTGGACCTGAATGGAAGTGATGTTCCCATCACACATCTAGTGTCCCTGAGTATCTACAGACCTGCACTCAATTATGGAGCTGACATAGCCAGTTTGTCTGAAATTCTTTGAGAACATCAAGAATAATAGTCTGAGTTGCCTCTCACCTAATTTCTCCAACTCCTCACACTCTCAATATTCTTCCCCAGGCTAGCAGCCAGCTCCGGAAGGATGGTGGAAGATCACGCAGTGCTACGGACCACCCCACGTGGAGGCCGCTGCTCCCTCCTCTGCACTGTTAGAACTATTCCCTGGGTGAGTCATTTAGTGAATGTGATCTTATGCACAAGAGAACCTCAAAAAGTTTGTGGAAGATGCAATTAAAAGATAAGTTTACTGTGTGAAAAAAAAATGAAATCCCCGTAGGAGTTTTTCATAATATGTATCTTTTCCATGATCTTTTTTGCATACCCCTCATACACATGAATTCCAGAATTTTTGCACCAAAATAAACTTATCTTTTAATTCCATAATTTCTAAAGTGCCCCTTGCTTGTGGGCTTGTAATTGAAAACATCTTTGGTGGTGTTTTCATTGTCAGAGGTTTTCTTTAAAGTAGTTTAGTAGACATATAAACACTGTGGGAGAGTTGAAAGTGAGGGCAGTACACGCCTTGGCATTGGCAGTGAAAGAGTGGAGGGACACAAATGTGCTTTTGTTCTTCCTATTGCTGCACCTGGGACAAGCTGTATCCAGGGATTGAGGTTAGCAGCAGCTGCTAACCCTGTGGAGAAGAGTTCTCTCTAGGCTAGTAGGGGATGAAGGTAGGGTAAGTATAGTGCAAGACCTCCCTGAGTACTACCTCTATTTGCCATTTTGGGGTTGCGCCATCGGAGGCAGAGAGCTGGCAGTACGCAGCAGGTGGTGTTCTAAGACAGGGTTGAGTGGAACAGGTGTTTAGGCCAGTAGAGACTTAAGAAGAATGATTAACTTTTGATTCCAGTTCCGACAAGTAAAAAGCCTGGAAATCCTCACTGTAAGAAATACAAGGAAGGGCAGGCATTGTGTCTCAATGAGTTACGCTGCCACTTGGGATGCCCATGACCTATAGTGAGTACCATTTCCAGTCCCATGTCCTCTGCTTCAAATCCATCTTCCTGCTAATGTGCCTGGGGGGTGGCAGATGATGGCTCAAGTATTTACGTTTCTGTTACTCATGGCTCCTGGGTGTTAGAGACAGTTGAGGAGTGAACCAGTGGATGGAAGACCCCTCCCTCCCTCTCTCCCTCGCTCTCTCTCTCCTTCTTCCCTCTTCTTCTGTCTCTCTTTCAGACAAATCTTTTTTCAGAAAAGAAATAAATGAAACCATCTGCGCATCACGAACTTGTACCCATGAGAGACCGAGATGGCAGAGGACACCACCACCTTTTATGTAGAGAAAGAGAGGAATGCAGAGAATCAGAGCCAAGGTCAGCTTTCCCAGGACAGAAGTCCCTGGAACCCAAACTGATAGGAACACTTACACAATAACCTTGACAAATTGCTGGAGGCTGAGTACAAACTGGCTTGAGAGTGATGAACTTTCAGGGCCACAGTCTGGGAAAGGCCCATACTTCATAGTTTTTACCTCCAAGAACTCTAATAGGTTCATTTTTTAAAAAATATTTATTTATTTGAAAGTCATTGCTACACAGAGAGAAAAGGAGAGGGAGAGGGAGAGGGAGAGGGAGAGGGAGAGGGAGAGGGAGAGGGAGAGAGAGAGAGAGAGAGAGAGTGAGAGAGAGTCTTCCATCCTCTGGTTCAATTGGCCACAACAGCCGGAGTGGTGCCGATCCGAAGCCTGAAGCCTGGAGCCTCCTCCAGGTCCCCCACATGGGTGCAGGGGCTCAGGGACTTGGGACATCTTCTACTACTTTCCCAGGTCATAGCAGAGAGCTGGATCAGAAGTGGAGCAACCAGGACTTGAACCGGCACCCATATGGTATGCTGGCATACCTGCTATGCCACAGCGCTGTCCCCCCCCCCTTTTTTTCCCCGATAGGTTCTTAAGATGAATAGTTACAACAAACCAACCAACCCTTATGCTTCTGGATGAAAGGAAAAACTGATCACTCTGAAATATGCTCAGCTCATTCTCCATAATCAGGGGCCACTGTTCGGGGGCAGGGGGGAAGTGCAATCACCCACCGCAGCACCTGCCAGCCTTCCTATCCTGATTCATGGTAGACAGATAAAAGGTGGGAAGCAGGTGGGAGGGTCACACCCCAGGGACACCACCCACTAAAAGACTAACTAAGCTTAATCATAAGACACAGAAGGCCTGCTTCCTCCCATTCCTTACCAACACATCAACAAAGTTACAAACTAGCAACAGCGGAGTACAGTTGAAAGAGCTGCAAGCATAGACAATTTCAAAAGGAATTGTTAGGGAAACTTAAAAGGGAAGACAAAAGCAAGGATGCTAGAGAAAACAGAAGCATTGACATCTCCATTTTACAAACATGAAATTCAACTGAACTTCTCATCATATTAATATAAAGCCTCACGCTAAAGATCTGTGGATCTCAATGCCTATTACCCAACACACTGTAACTGTCTTTCAAGAACAGCAACAAGGTTGCCAGGCATGCTGAAAAATAAAAACAAAAAGCAGGCAAAACAAAGTTTGAAGTGACAAAGCATGGATCATAACTAAAGAAGGTAGGAGACAAATTTTAGAACTATCCAACAGGGCATTAAAAATAATTGTTTAATATCCCAAGGTTCTACTTTTTGAAACTGGATAACATGCAAGAACAATGGGCCTAATGTAACAGAGAGGTGAAAAGTCTACAAGGAATGGAAAAGAAATTCCAGAAATCAAAACATTGTAACAGAGATGAAGAATGCCTTCGGTGAACTCATCGGTAGACTGGACACAGCTAAGGAAAAAGGTGAGCTGGCAGATGCATCTCAGCAGATATGCTGCTACATTTCCCAAACTAAAGTGCAAAAGGAAACCAGAACATCCAGAAAGCATTTCCAAAGGTATAGTGTATGTTCCACTGGCATAGCAGAAGGAGAGCAAAAGAAACAGGACAGAGCGTATTTGAAAGAATAATGGCTCACGACTTTCAGAAATTAAAGATACACACCAAAACATAGATCCAGGAAGCTCAGGTTAAACATCAAAAACCTATACCTAGGCATGATATGTTTTAACTGAAGACAATAATAGATGATGAGACTCTTTTGAAAGAAACCTCGAGGGCAGAAGGAAAATCATCACACAAACTTCTTGTTAGAAAGCATGCAAGCGAGAATAGAATGGAAAGTATCTGAAGTCTTGAAAGGAAAATATCACTAACCCGGAATTCCAACTCCAGTGAAAAGATCCTTCAAAGGTGAAGGAAGAACAGAGATTCCGTCAGATAAACAAAACCTGAGGGCATCATCCCCTGTAACATGGGCCGTAAGAGATGCTGGATCTCTGGGGAGCAGGAAAAGGATGTAGGCACAAACAGATCTACAAAAGGGAAGCACATCACAGAGGAGTGAATGAAGGGAAATGAAATTCTTTTTTAAAAAGATTTATTTATTTATTGCGAAGGCAGAGAGAGAGAGAGAGGTCTTCCATCCTTTAGTTTACTCCCCAAATGGCTGCAACGGCCAGAGCTGGGTCAATCCGAAGCCAGGAGAGCCAGGAGTTTCTTCCAGGTCTCCCACATGGGTGCAGGGGCCCAAGGACGTGGGCCATCTTCCACTGATTTCCTAGGCACATTAGAAGGGAGTGGGATTGGAAGTGGAGCAGCCAGGACTCCAATGGATACTTGTATGGGATGCCAGCACTGCAGACGGCAGCTTTACCCACTACCCCACAGCGTCGGCCCTGAAATAAAATTCTTATATTTTTCTCATTCTTAATTGGTGTAATAGGTAATTGCTTGTGCATAGTAGTAATAGTAACAGTGTACAGGGAGATTATACGATATGGACAATAAAATGAATAGCCGCGATGTTTAAGGAACGGGAAGCAGGAATCAGGAATTCTTCGTTAGAAGATATCTGGAGTATCTGTGCCAAGGCATAGCATTCCTTCAGCGTGCGCTTAGATTTGCCGTATACTGCAAACTCTAGGAAGCAAACCATAACGGGTATGTAACGAGAAGGGAGAAAATGAACTTGTAAAAAATGCCCTGCTAAAACCCGAGAAATCAGAAGAAGAAACAGTCAGAGAAGAGAGAGAGAGAGAGGGAGAGAGGGAGAGAGGAAGAGAGGGAGAGAGGGAGAGAGAGGCATTAAGCTGGGATTTTTTTTTTCTGGCTGGTACTCAAGATTCCTGAGCAGTATTCTCATCTCTTGCTGCCCATAATGTCCAGGCTGAGGTGTTTGAGTTATTTAAAAGCATGAATGCATGAATTAATTTGTTTGTTGAAAGGAGACACTTTAGGACTGGCCTTGGTGGCACAGCTGCACAAGCCACCACTTGGGACACTAGCATCCCATAGCAGGGAGTGCCAGTTCAAGTCACAGCTGCTCCACTTCAAATCCAGCTCCCTGCTAATGCACCTGGGAAAGCAGTGGAAGATGGCCCCTGCATCCATGTGGGAGACCCAGAAGTTCCAAGCTCCCAGCTTCAGCCTGGCCCAGCCCCCTGGTGTTGCAGCTATTTGAGGAATGAAGCAGTGGATGGAAGCTCACCTTCTCTCTGTCTCTGTCACTCTGCCTTCCAAATACATATGAATAAATAAATCTGTAAAAAAGTAAATTAACAAAAGAAGGAGGCACTTAAACACTTAAAATAGACTTTCAGTTCTTGGAAGGCTCCTTGAAAATTGTCTGAAGCCTTGAATATATACCCCAGTAAAATACATACATTTGTGGCCTTATCAAATGCTTTGCATGGTTTCAGGGAGCCCACACAGCTCTTGAATCCATCCATGGCCTCCATATTAGGAAAGTTTGCACTGTATATTGTGCTTTAAAATAAAAGTGCACATTAGTATTCTCCCCTGACACCACAGAGAGGCAAGAGCACTTAGTTAGACGGCCAGTACTCTCTTGGGAGGCGTCTGCATGCCCAGGGCCAGCCCTGCCACCTGGGTAGCTCAGGTCAGCTGCAATGCATCCACAGGGATGCGGGCAGGCACCAGCCGCAGGGTGGTCCAACCAAAGGTAAGTTCAGACTTTGTGTAGCTAGGAACAGTTCTGCTGCTGGAACACTAGTTATTCTATTAAACTGGAAATACTGTGAGGAAGGCACATTTGCCATCTCAAGACACAAAGACATCTTCACTCCTGTTGGTCTCCAAACTTAGAATCACACCCTAGGGGCAG